AGTCAGCGCTGGCGGATCGGAGCGGGGAGGGGGGAATCCAGCCCCTCCCCTGTCACGGCAGTGAGCTGTGACAGGATCGAGAGGTGAGCGAACGCCGGTATGTGTTCGCTCACCTCCCGATCTACTGAGCCGACCTGTGACAGTCTCATTGTCACCGGTCGACTAGAATTATGAGGTGAGTGAAAAGCACTCGCCTCATAGTTCTCCTTTAAGAACAAACCCACAGACCCTATCTTGTTCGTGGGACTGCCTGTATATATATATTTAGTGCCATCTAGTGGAATAGGACCCCCTTTCAGGCATTCTGTTATTTATTAACCAATGCAAAGGATCAAAAAGAGACCTCAATGTATCCCCATGGGCGGCCGGATGTAAGCAGATGTGCGTCTGTTTACATTCGTTAACATTCAGTTTCATCAGAATGAATGCAATATTTTGTGAAATAGGCAGATATAGGCAAATGCACATCTGCTTACATCCAGCCTCCCATTCATCCAATCCCTCCCATCCAGGGATTACATGGGCCCATTTTTCCTCAATTCCATGATGAAGATGAAAAAAAAAAATGAAAAATGTCACATATGTACCATTGGTTTCCATTCTGATCTAATTCAACAGGCGTTCAGTCAATGGATCCGAGTCTACGGAGATGGGACATGGGCACCCATGTGAAAGGGACTTTAGGGGCGCTATCTATTTTTTGGAGATTCATTTTAAAGTCTTTTTTTTCCTTTGTTGGATTAAATTTGACTTTCATGTGTTTTCTTTTCTTGTGACAGTTGAGGGGGCTCAGAGGTTCTTCGCTGGATTGTCCTTCGTCATGGCTGCTGCTGGTTCCTGCGTCTGTCTGCTTTACTTGTTTTGCCTGAGACCCCCCTATCATCCCCACCGGATGCCGAAACCAGGAAGCCTTCTTCTCGCAGTACTTCCTCCTACGGGTGAGCGCGGCCTCTCATGTGTTCATTGCTGCAGCAGGCCAGCAGTCATTGTCTTCACCTAGAACAGATGTGACACCCCGGCATTGTTATAGCCGCACAATGTCTGCTTCCTCCTTACTTCTCAACCTCAAACACTTTTGTACTCAACGCTGCAGCTTTGTTGGTAAAAGATAATTGTGCTTCCTTCAGCGGCATGTTAACTTCCTCTAAAAAAAATTCATACATAAACTAGTATTCCAGACCAGCGTGAGTTAACCATTTTTACAATGTGTGGCCCCTCCAAAATCCATGCCAGACCCTTATCCTAAATAAGACCCTTATCCCAGTAGCTCATGCAGTATTTGCATTAGACATGTGCAATTCGTTTCAGTCCGGTTCAAAATTTGGAGGAATTTTCCGAAATTCGGACACATCCAAATTTTTTTATCCCAATTAATCTGAATGTGTTCGAATTTCTGTTTCCGAATTGCGGATCCCGTTCGAATTTCGTTCAAAAACTAAACTGAATTGGACATGTGACTTTTCTGGCCAATCAGATGTGTTTTTTGGTTTAATGCATCCGAATGGGTCCGAACATGAATTTTCATTACGGCAACATGGGAGCCATATACAGTATATACATATAATACTAAAGCTGAGGCTCCCAGACCCGAATGGCATTCGGGATCCGTATTTCCAAATTGCATTGGGGAGCTCCTGAATGCCATTGGGGCCTAGGAGCCTCCGCTTTAGTATTATATGTATATACTGTATATGGCTCCCATGTTGCAGTAATGAAAATTCGTGTTCGGACCCATGCGGATGCATTAAACCAAAAAACATATCTCATTGGCCAGAAAAGTCACATGCCCGATTCAGTTTAGTTTTTGAACGAAATTCGAACGGGATCCGCAATTCGGAAGCCTGGGCTGGGAGCCTCAGCTTTAGTATTATATGTATATGGATCCCAGACCAGAATACAATTCCGAAATTGGGATCCCGAATGCCATTCGGGTCTAGGAGATTCAGCTTTAGTATTAATTTCTGTATATGGGTTTCTGTGGTATTCGCAACGAATATTCGTAAACTCATCCGAAATTAATGAAAATTCGGATTTCAGGATCTGAATCCCGAAATATCCAAGCCCAATTTGTCTGCAGCTTACATGTCTAATTTTCAGCTGTGTGTGCCATGTTCTGTGTACGTTTGATGCACGTCCACGTGCATAAAAAAATGCATGTTTTCCCGCTGTGTTTGGGGGGTGCCAACTGATGGCACTGCAATTATGTTGCACATTTTTAAGGCGTTGGGCGAATGCGCATTCACTCAATGCCGTAATGTGAACGGGGGCGAAGGCAGAGATTGGTTGAAGAATTATATTATTGGTGCCATCAGGAATTTATTAATTTTGACTTGCAAACATTCGAGAAATGGAGGGGCACAAAGAACCAGGAAGTGAGTTATCTGCCCACTTCCTGAATACTCGGATATGTCAGATCCAGAATACAATCATCCAACAAATATTCATCACATTTCCTGCGTCATCCTGCAGGTCTCATCTATGATTTTGTGAACGTTGTTTTTTTTCATTCCAGGGTTCTTCTTCTCCGTGGCCTGGACCATCTTCACCTGGCAGCACCGGGAGGCAATAACGGCTAACTGGTCCGGACTGGGATACTCATACTGGCTGGGGGGTTTCGCTTGGATCGCACTGCTCATTTTCCTTCCTGTCCTGTACCTGCTGGATGAATGTGCAGTCATAAAGACTCACAAACCTCTGCAGGTCTAACAGAAGAGACTCCAGACAATGAAACATCTACAAATATGAGAAGATAAAAACTCTTATTTTTTCGTGTCACTTCCTGTCCCAGTGACGGGCGTCAGGCCGCACACACGAAACCGAGATTTGCACTTTACATATTAAATAAGGTTCTTTGCCTGTTGTTGTCCTTTAAGTAAAACCATATGTATGTGAATAAAATAAACCCAAATCTCTGCTCAAAGCCCCTGCTGGAAAGTTGAGGTTTAGTTTGCTTTTACTTTACCTCCCCTGGTTCCTCCTCTTCCCCTTCCTCTCATCAACATGCCAATGCCTTTTTTTTTAAAATAAAATCTTCCCTTATTTTAGAGTGATGTTGTCGCTGGTTCTCTATGCAATACAAGCAGATCATGGCTGGTGGGAGGGGCCGGCAGGGTGCCGTCCTGAAAACATAACAGCAATTCTCTCAAAAGCCCTCCGCTCTGATGCAAGAAATGGGCTGGCCTCTGGGAGGAATTATGCAAATATAAAAATGCCTTGATGGAGGAGTGGGCGTTCCCAGGCAGGAATGCTTTTGCATGTAGAACAGGGGTGCCCACACTTTTTCGTCTGGAGATCTACTTTTCAATTGACGAGCTCAATGAGATCTACCAACAAAAAAACACCTGCATTTAAAAACAAGCACATTAAAATCGTTACTGGGACTACTGCCTCTCACGCGCGCGCTCTCCACTGTATCTCTCTCTCCTCCCTCTGGGCCAGTTCTCACCACAAAGTCTGCGTTCCAGAGCGTGCGGCCTCTGGAACGAAAGCCGGCCGGCTCCCTGCGTTCAGGGGTGGGAGGGGGCATGGCGGCGCATTGACATCAATGGCACCGCAGCCACCTTCCCTCGCCCGCATCTGGAACGCAGGCACATTAGTGCCTGTGTTCCGGTCCAGTGCGAGCCGCAAAAATGTTGCCAGCACTGTGCCTGCGTTCTGGGTGCAGGGTGATCGCACAGCCCGTGTGGGCCCATGCTTTATTAAAAATAAAAAAATTGCCGCGTGCGGCGCTAGAGTGTTCGGGCTTCACTTGAAGAAAAGGTGGCAACCCTACGCATGCTGCAGACGGGAAGAGGTGTCCTGCGCCTTCCTGTCTGCAGCATCTGACACATTCAGCCGCACTAGCACCGCAGGAGGGAGCTCAGGTCAGTGAGCCGTTTGCGATCTACCTAATGGGCACCCCTGATGTAGCACACCCCAGGTTAGACCCACATGTGATGTTAAGCCTCCATGTTTAAAGGAGAACTATGAGGGACGTGCTTTTCACTCACCACATAGTTCTAGCCGACCTGTGACAATGAGACTGTCACAGGTCGGCTCAGTAGATCGGGAAGTGAGCGAACACATAACGGCGGTCGCTCACCTCTCGATCCTGTCACGGCTCTCTGCCGTGACAGGGGAGGGGCTGGATTCCCCCCTCCCCGCCAGCGCTGACTGGCGGAACAGACGGGGGAGGGAACAGACGGGGGAGGGGGCCAGCTATCACTCACGCAGCTGGGCGGATCTCGACCTCGATGTCGGGATCCGCTCCGGCTGCGGCGTCTCAGTATACCGTGAGCTGTAGCTCGCGGTATACTGAGCTTAGGGTAACGGGAGGACGCTAGTTTGTGTCCTCCCGTTACCCTAAGGAGAACTATGGGGAAAAACACTGACCCCATAGTTCTCCTTTAAGAGAACTGAAATCTCTATTACAGCAATAAAAACCTGTTTCTAACTTCCCCACGCTAATTTTTGTTTATTTTGGATAGAGCAGGGAATGGCTATACTGTCTCTTTATAGATGACCAATGTCACAGACAGAAAGTAAGGGCAAATCCAAGATTTTAAAGCAGTCACCAAAGCAAGAGGCGAGGGAAAATCTTTCCCTGGAACAAATATTGCAATGATGACCAAGAATTCCCCTCACTTTGATAAGATTTCAAAGTTGCATCTCATTTCCTGTTGCATCTTGAGGACAGGAAGTGAACGGAAATCTGCCCAATTATCTCCCCTTGTTAGAGGTTTTAGCCCGTCCCTACCTAATCCAAAATGTTTAAAAAAACGGCTATACATTTACTTTAATTATAACAAACATTCCCCAATTATTTATACCACATGATGAGTCTCCCTCGGGGTGGTCTTGTAGAAGTAACAACCAATCAGAATCTTGCTATCATTTTTCCAATCGAGCTAGAATATAATAGACGACATCACTTCAATATCAACCCAACACAGAGGTATCATAAAATTCTCTTTATTTGTGATTAATACCAAACAGAGGCTGGCCATTGAGGAGTTGATGTCTGTGCAGGGATGATGAGCGGTGGGACGCAGTAGGATTAGAATGTGTCGCGTCGCTGGCTTTTATCCGTGCGTGGCCGGCTGTACACATATCTTGGAGTCACATGTAGACACATAATACTTCAACTAAATATGAAACATATATGTGCATGTTTACAATACATACAAGAAAAATTATATTCATATACGCCACCTACTGGACAGAGATGGTCAGGACAGTGTAAGTAGAAATTTAGTAATTCACCATAACAGTCCAGGGTGTGACGGTCTGCAGAATTTGGCATGTGCAGCCAGGGCCGGATTTGATCTCTCTGCTGGGGCTCCAAAAGACGCCCAGTGTCACCTTTACACTCCAAATAAGCAATTGAAGTGCAGATCGCACTACAATAGCTTATAGCTGGGCTTCAGGAGCCAAGCAATGACAGCTATGGGACCGGAAGTGATGCAATATGCGTCGCTCCCGGTCACATAGTACAGGGAGGAGAGCGGTGAACGGATGTTCGCCGCTCCCCTCCCCAGCTTCCCACCGACACCTAAGATGCCGGTCCCGGGCACGAAGGAGGGGCAGCGGAGCCTGGGAAACACGGCGGGGGTGTCGGGTGGGGGGGTGGGCACTTTATCGGCCCATAGAAGCGATCTGACAGCAGCTGAGCCGCCAGAATCGATTCTACTGTAAAGCTGGCAGCCGCCTCTACAAATGTAAACAGAGTCCTGGCGGCTGTCTGTTAAAATGGGCCCGATGCCAGTGACGTACACCTTATGTCACTGGTCGTCAGTCACGCAGCTGGGCGGATCCTGGCATAATTGTAGGGATCCGCTTCAGCTGTGGCGTCTCAGTATACCGCGCGCAGTAGCTCACGGTATACTGCGGCGTCTCGGTATACTGAGCCTAGGGTGACGGGAGGACCCTAGTTTGCGTCCTCCCGTTACCCTAAGGCGAACTATGGGGAAAAGCCTTAACCCCATAGTTCTCCTTTAAGTGCTACGAAGCTGCAGCGGGGAAAATTAGGTCTCCTGCCCTGTCCAGGCAGGACTTTGTGGCGAAGCTGTGTGAATCTCCAAACTGGATGGAGAGAAACGCGAATCCTTCAGCAGATAAAACACCTCCTATATATGTATGTAATCTGTGTATTTATATTTGCCTGACGATCGGCTTTAACAAAGCAGAGTTTAGAGAAGGACGACGGCAGAGGAGCCGGTGTTATGAGGAGAGGAAACACCTGCTTGGTGAGCACTGGAAAGCAGCTTCACCTAAACCGTAAGTCTACCAGCAACCATGTAACTGCATTTACACAACAGGACACATGACGTGCCCCCCGACCATCTCATAACACAGCGGGCAATCCCGGACCAAAAAATAAAATATAATATAGAGGCGGCACTACATCCTCAGGTTATGGATCTCTTTAACAGGAATCTATAATCATTTCACATATTTTACTACCTAAATATCGAATGTTAGAATGTAAATAAGCTTTTTAATGAGAGTTAATGTAGATTTACAAACCTGTGCTTCTATGTATAATAATGCTCATGGGGGCAGCCATACTAGCTAATTGCAACGTCTGCTTCCTGCTCAGTGCCGCACTGTGTTTTGTTTCACTGCAACTTTCTCTCTGCGAGTCTGTTGGTCAGACCTGACACTAAACTCAAGAGTTAAATCTTAAAATTACATTCGAGTACCTTAACTATGAACAACAATGTATCTGATTTATGTATCACTCGGCTGTAGATCCTCCAATCATCTCTGAATTGGTGCTGACACTGTCCTTCCTTCTGGAGGGTGACTACGTCTGTTCCCCATGGTCCATGTGTGTGTTGTAAAGTAGTCACCGCTCCCAGGAGTGAGTCCATCACAGGAGCGGGCTTGGAGCGGTGACTACTTTACAACACACACAGGGACCATGGGGAAAAGCCCTGACCCCATAGTTCTCCTTTAATAATTAAGGTTCTTGAATTAAGATTTATCTCCGGAGTTTAGTGTCACTTTAAAATAAATAAACTGATCTCCACAGTCCTAAAGCAGGGATGCTAATGACATTCTCTGAAACACAGATGACCACTGGGGGGGGGGCATTTATAAAGAAGTGTATGGAATGCAATAATCTACGTAAGAAAGAGCAAAATAAAAATGAATTAATGAATAAAACTTCCAAAATTGACTTTCAGACAATAAAAACTCAGCGGAATTCATCTCTAGGAACACAAACGTGTAGCCAGCAATGGGCGGAGCCTTATTACATCCATTGTGATAGCACCTGCTATAAGGTCCATGGTTCCCCTACCGCCCCAACTGAAGTATCTCCACTGGGGAGATTTCCCTTCACTTCCTGTCCTGGAAAGCAACAGGAAATGAAAGGAAATCTCTCCAAAGTGAATACAAATTCCCAACTTAGAGAGTTGTCACCTTTTGCTCTGGTGACAAGGCTGCCACCCATCTCTACTCAAAATCCAAACCCTAATTAAAACAAAATAGACTTTACATATACTTTCATAAAAAGGA